GGGGGGTGGCTCACCCCGGCTCAATTAAATGGAGGGAGGGGGGGGGGTAGCTTGGAAGCCCCCCCCCCTTTCCGGACCACGAAAAGGAGGGGAGGGGGGGGGGCTTCCTTCCGAAGCCCCCCCCCCCTTCAGCAAGGAAGGGGGGAGGGGGGTAGCTTCAAGCTGGGGCTCCCCTTTTAGTCCATCGGGCCCCACGAACGCGCTCTATCCGACCTTTTTTCCTGGCGCCTCCCCGTGCGGGTCACGGCCAGCCTGGCACAGCCCCTGCGAGCGGTAGAAGTCAGGCCTCCGGTCGCGCAGGTACGGCGTCTCGTCCGCGAGCCACCGAAGGTTCTCGTCCCAGCCGACGCTGCAGAATAATAACCCTTCGTGCGCCCAATCGCATGGGCCAGCCAGGAATTCTGCATCTGGGCCCGAGACGTTGCTGTGGCCACAGAAGTACTCGCGGTCAACCCTGAGAACGCACGGGTAGTTGCAATATGCGACGAACATGCGGTTCTCCATCGCGCGCGCAGGTACGATCCTGCCATGGGGCGCGACATTGAGAAGCCCAGGGTCAGCCCGGGCTTTTCTCTCAGCACCTTCTGAGTCGAGGTCCCTGGGCGTCTGAACAGGCCCCTGGTCCGTTGCCCCCTGCCCACCTCGAACTGGCCGCCCAAGCGGGCACTCCTGCCACAGCCCCGCGAGAGCGATCAGCCAACATTCGACTCCGAATGCTGTTGCAGTCGACGAGTGGCGAACGCTTTAGCTTTAGGTGACGTGTGCCTGGCTGCTAAGGAGGCCAGGAGAGGACACAGGAATCTGATAGAGAGCTGGTGGTGAGCGTGTGGGCGCGGGAGAGGGCACAGACAAGACGCTCTGCTTAGCAAGAACAGTGGGGAGGGTGGGGAGGGACGCTGGCAAGTAGCAGGGAAGTGAAAACGCTGATGGTGCGCAGAGAGATGGAGAGAGAGAGAGAGAAGCAAAGCAATTCATGTAAGAGGATAACGTTCTTGTGTAGCGAAGGTATCAACTGTAGCTAGTGCCGGGACGCTTCTGGACAGGAAGTGCGGGTGAGAAGATGGAAAGAACAGATGGAAGGCATCACATCGACCAAGGGTGGGAAAAAGGTGGGGGGAAGGGACTCTCGCAGACGCCGCAGATCACAAGGGTGCAAGGCGAGGAAGTACGACCCTTAAATAACCAAATGTTGCAAGACGTTGCAAGAGTATCATTAGGACACATAATTGGCAGTGGCATCCTTGGAAGCGGGTCTCAATCCTTTCTGTAGTCTGCGAATGTACTATGGCTGTCAGGTAATTATGACTTCCGCGCCCGAAGCATTCCCTCCACAGCGTCGCGCTCTCAAATTCTCAAGCATCAACTGCCTTGAGATCCAAGACACATCAAACCACATCTCCCCATGCCCCATCGAGCGAAACTCGGGTCAGGGAACAGACGCAACTTGAAAATGCACCACATCGCCCTGGGCAAAACCGAGCTGGGCCGATCGAGTCGTGAACACGCCCTCATCCCTCCGCGGGCGATCAACGGCAACCACACAAACTCTTCCGCCTTTGGGGACGCCCGACCTGGGGCGGCTTGAACATTGTCAAATATTCGCGAACGGGGGGGCAATACACGTGGGGAAAAGGCACGTGTGCCTTTCGTAACACCTTTTGGCCGATTATTAGGGCCCCTTCAAGGCCACTTTCTGCAATCCTCGATCCCCTCCGTTGCCGTCCGCCCGATTGATAATACGAAGTACATAAGCCAGGACTACTTCAGACAGAATCGGACCCGCAAAAATAGTAGATCTCTGATGCCTGGTGGTTCTGGAAGATGTATCGGGCGCAACGGCCGTTCCAGGGCGCTCCGAAGGCTCTGACAGCATTCCGGAACGCCCTGGAAGTGTTGATCCTGGTCCCAACCCCGCCCGGAACTGATGTCGCGCTGCCCTGAGATCAGACGTTGCGGAAAAATTGCGGCATCGCGAGAGCAATCTCGACTGGAACCGTAGACCCCATCTCTCGGAACATTTTCCGAGCCGCATCGGTCTGTGATGGTCCCGGGGCCCGAGCACGGGCGAAAAGGCCACGTGGGAAAGAACGGCAACGCCCGGATCTCAGGGGCGGCGCCGAGGTCGGTTTCGGGTCACAACTCGGGCCTCCAGCAGCCGTTCGGCACGATCCGAGCACCCCTGGAACGCCCTCGGCTAGGTGCCGCTGCTGAAGGGCATGGAAAATCGCCCAGAACCAACGACAACATCCAGAAACTTCAAAACTCTAACTTCGAAGCCTCGGAGGGGGTTCGTCGCCCAGTGAGTTCAGCCCTGCCGTCCTGGTCGCCGCGTTCGGCTCGGTGTACGGGAGGGCCTGAGGGGCAACATTAGGAGGGGGGAAACCATCGACCTGATATCGGCGATACATTTCCCATAGATCGGCGATGGGCCCCCGAAAGCAAATCCGCACGGTCCTGGGCGGGGGCGGCCCATCGGCGATCAGTGGGCGACTGGGGGTCAATGCTTCGCCACCTGATGGAGGAAGGACAAACTGCATGAACATCAACTTTCGCCAGAGGTCCGCGAGGATTTCTGGGATATGCGCTGGGTCCCCCTCCCTGGAGCGCGGAGCGCGCCAGGGGTGTCGCCAGGGGGCTCCGGCGCAGATGCAAGAAATCCGTGAGGAGCTCCAGGATTTTTGTTTCTGCACTTCTGTCTTCTTCGGCCAGAGCCTATCCCCCCGAACGTTGCCCCTGAGGGCCGTGGGGACCAGCAGCAGCTCCGCGCTCCGGGGCGCGCAGGCCTCGGGGTGGCCGCGTGGCCGCTTACGCCCGCCTGACGCCCTCCCCCCTTCGGGACCCTTCGATGATCCTTAGATCGTGTGTCACGTCAAGCCAACGTGCGCCTGTCTACTGAGGCCCTTCGTCACGGCGCTGGCGACGCGATGAAGGCCGAGATGCCAGGAGGCGTGCTGTCGGCGGAGCTGGGCGGGGCAGACACACATTGGGCTAACTCACGTCCTGAGGATCATCGGCTCTTCTGCCCCCTCGCGAGGCACGAACCATGTTCGGCAGTGTGCAGAGGGGGGAACCCAGACATGCTCGTGTCGTGAACAAAATCACGACGGGAAGTTCTCGGTTTCTATTTGGCCTCCAAAGGTCCAAGGGCCCTCGCGGGGCCCCGAGACCGTCAAACATTGCCTGGGATGGAGAACTGGCCCTGGGGAATAGGTGGGGACTTGCGGCCCCCATGTCTGGGAAGTGAGAGGGGGCAGGCCTTCAAAGAAGGCGTGGGGGGCTTCTCAGAAGCCATCTGGCCTTCCCTCTGTGCCTTCGGAAAAAGGCTTCGACAGCTTCTCAGAAGGCTGGAGGCCTTCTAAGTCTCCTGAGAAGGCCCGTCCCTATGACTTCCCCCAGGGCGCGCCGCCGACGTTTGCCTGAGGGCATACTTTTGTTTACCTCGAACTTGACGGCAGCAAACATGCCTTCAGCCTTCGTCATGCTCCTTAAGGGCAATTATTTGTTCCTCCCCCTTCCACCTTCATCCCCTGCCTCATTTTACTTCTCTCTTCGCCCGCCATGGCGCACTGACTGTGCACCGCCGCGTTCTGATCAACCGGTCCTTTCGTATCTAGGCTGGTCAGACATTTCAATATCGGGTCCTACGTCGACCGCAACAACGCGCTCTTTCAGGACCTTGCCTACCGCGTCAGCATCACCTCGCTGGCCCTCGAAGTGCTGCGACAGACCGCATTTTCCAACCCGCGGGTCTCCGACGCTACCAGCAAGGTGCTCACCAAACACCTCGTGCCCTCTAGGGACACGTCACTTGCTGGCGAGGGGCCCACTGTGCGTCAACACCGTATGATGTTTGGGAGCGCCATTGCGCGTCATCGCTTTACCTTTTGGTCATCGGCGGTACCGATCTGGAGATACTGCCGTCCTTGCACAGGCTGGGGAATCATCGGCTGCGTGCGCCTTCGCAACACTCGCGCAGGCACCTCACAAGGGGCTCGTCCTCGCCGGGCACAACGGGCACCCGCGGGGCCCCACCGCATATCCTCCAGTGTGCGCATCTGGTTCCTGCACTGCTGGGCGCTCTTCCCGAGCCGCCCTGCGAGCCCGCGCGGGAGGACCGTTCCTGAGCTGTTTGAGCTTCCGCGCCCTCTTCTCCACGCAAAGCCCTGCCGACCCAGCAACGGCCCGCCCAAGGCTTCGAAGCCCACTGGCCCCCGGCATCCGCGCCCGGACTCGAATATTAAGCAGTGCGTCCCTCTCCAGAACATGCGCCTCCGTAGCCCTCGCGCCCGTGCCTCGAGGGGCTCGGGGCTCCTCTTCGCTGGGCGCCACGGGCACCTGGTGGACCCAATCGCAAATGACATGTTATGCGCAGTTGGTTCCTGCGTGGCTGGGCGTTCCTCCCGAGCCGCCCCGCGATTATGGCCGCGCCTGCGCGGGGGGGGCCCTTCTCTCGCTGCTTGAGCACCGAACCCTTCTTCACGCAAATCCCTGCCGACCCAGCAGCGGCCCGCCCAGGCCTTCGTCGAGGCCCGCGGCCCCCCAGCATCCGCGCCAGGATGCAACTGGGGGACACCAACACAGTAGCCCAGACTTTCGAGGCAACTCCAACGGAGGCGAAGGCCTCCCAGGAGGCCCCAGAAAACGAAAGCGAGGGGAGGGTAGCGGTATCGGTGCCCGCGCCCGGATGCAACTACCCAAGTGCAGGACCACGCCGCGGCTGCTCTCGGCGCGCGGCGAGGCGCGGTGGCGGACCACCTCTGGCAGGCGCCGCTGTGTGCCCGAGACCGCGCACTGGTCGATGCTGCTGCCCGGTCCCACCGCGCCGTTGACGGTGCGCAGCGGGCACGATCCCGTGACCGCGGCGCCTTGAGGGCGCCGGCGATTTCGGGGAGGACTCTGCGCCGCGGGAGCCAGCCGCTAGCCTGCCCGCAGCGCGCCCCAAGCGGCCCGCCTCGGACCGCGGGGGCCTGCCTATCCGTAGTGCGGCAGCTTACTGTGCGCGTGCGCCGCGAGGCCAGAGGGCACGGATCCGCCTCTGGGCCTCGGATCATGCGGTGGAGCGCCTCAGGGCTCGTGCAGCTGTGGGAGGTGGGAAAGCCGCGAGAACTCCAAGGCCAATTGCTAGAATTCCTTGGCCCTTCCGGGCATGTCGGGGTTGTGCCCGAGGCCCCTTGGAGAACCCCCTGGAGGCCCCGTCCCGCCGGCCACCCGAAAAGAACCTTTTCCGTTCCAAGATGGCCCAAGATGGCTCCTAGGACGGCTCAAGATGGTCCGAGATGGCCTCTCAGTTCGTTAGTTCGCCCAAGATGGTCAGTTATGGCCTCCCAGACGGCCCAAGAGGGTTCAAAATGCTTCCAAGCCCGCCCAAGAAGTCTCCAACATGGTCCAAGATGGCCTCAAGATGGCCCAAGAGGCCCCTAAGAGGCCTCCAAGAGGTCCTCCAGGAGAGCCCGACGAGGCCAACATCACTGGTGCTCCTTAGGTTTTTGAAGGATTTTGGCATTTGCTTCTCGTCGGTCCTCCGATGGCCCAAGACGGCCCAAGAGCCCCCACAAATCGCCCAATATCGCCCACGAGGCCTTCAAGATGGCCCCATAACGGCCCAAGGGGCCCCCAAGACTGTCCAAGAGGCCCTCGAGACGACTTCCGAGGGCGTCAGACGGGCCAGGAGGCCACCAAGACGGCCCAAGATGACTCCAAGATGGCCCAAGACAGCCCGAGAGGCCCCCAAGAGGTCTCCAAGAGGTCCTCCAGGAAAGCCCGAAGAGGCCAAACTCATTGATTTGTCTCGTAGGGTACCGCTCTCAAATTTTGTCCAAGACAGCGAAGCTTGTCCCGAGAAGCGCGGCACGGACAGAACACGCAGAGCGAAATGACGCGGGCGAAGAAAGCCGGCCTCGAGGAGGCAAGCGCCGAGCAGGCCCCTCGACACTGTAAAAAGAAAACCTTCAAATGAGTTCGCAACGTGAGAGTGCACAAGGGTGGCGGAAAGCAGGCCGCAGGTGCACTTGAGCAGGAGATATCGTGAAACCACAAGACAACACTGCGCGGAACACTCCAATGTCTAATAGGGTACCGCTCTCAACATCGTTTCAAATCAGCGAAGCTTGTCTCGAGAAGCGCGGCACGGAGACACCACGCAGAACGAAGTGACGCGGGCGAAACAGGCCGGCCTCGAGGAGGCAAGCGCCGACAGGCCCCTCGACACTGTAAAGGAAAAAACTTCAAAGGAGCTCGCAAAGTGAGGAGGCACGAGGGTGGCGGAAGGGCAGGCCACGGGAACACTCGAGCGGAAAATATTGCGGAACCACTAGACAACACCGCGCGGAGCACTCCAATGTCTAGTAGGGTACCGCTCTCAAAATGTTTTCAAGACACCGAAATTTGTTTCGGGAAAACGCGGCGCAGAAGCAACGCGCAGAGCGAGATGACGCGGGCGAAGCAGGCCGGCCTCGAGGAGGCAAGCACCGATCAGGCCACTCGACACCGTGAAAAGTGGGAGTCTCAATTCACTCCCGAAACAAGGTATGTGTTCTCTGGCTAGAGGCGGACACGATCACTGCGGCAAGATCACGGCGCAAATCGAATATGGTTCAACTACTTTGGTCCACGGAACATGTCTGGTCGGATGGGGCCCTGTCAACTCGATGTGCGCCAAACCCAAATGCGAGCAGACCCCGCGTCCGTGGCATAGGCGGCAAATCAAATGCTGAATCACATTGGCAGGAACACTACCGAATAAGAAATGAGTCCGCTTGCGCCATCTTGTTCCGTAGCTGCAAAGTCTAGTGCCGCCTCGCGGGCGCTTTAGGTCGCACGGCGGCGAAACGCAGGGATCTTCCACGTCGTGCTGCTATGAGGATTCCCGAGAAACCATGGGACCTGACAGGCGTCTATGCTTTTGATAACTCGCAATGTTGCCCTGAGGAATCTGTTGCCACGCGCAAGGGCGGCGCGGTCCTTACCGCTGAAATCGGATCTGTCCACCGCCCCCAGGGCTTGTCAGAAACGCGAACGAAACGAGGTCGCATCCGAGCAACTGAAAGAAGCTAGCGCGTTCACTCGCAACGGCCGCTCCCCAAATCCGCCGATCCGGCGTGTGAGTCTAAGAAGTCTAAACTGAAGCTCTGCTTCAGCATGAGCTTTAGCTCTGCTTGGGAAGGGGGGGGGGCAGGAGAGAAGGGGGGGGGGTACGAGAGAGTGGAGGGAGGAGGGGGGGGGGTGGGACAGGAGAGAGGGGGAGGGGGGCAGGAGAGTGGAAGGGGGGGGGAAAGGAGAGAAGGGGGTTGACAGGACAGAGGGGGGGGGACAAGAGCAAGCTAGGTGCGCTCGCGTCATATCTGACACCTGACCCCTCCCTCCAATCCCTTACCATGGCGTAGATCCCCTCTATACTCGCGCAGTCGGATATCGAACAGGGCAATGATCCCGAAAGGGTACGCGATGCATTGTAGAGCACGGCGCGGCATGGCGTAGAAGAGCACCGCAAAGCGTAGTATGTCACAGCATGGCGTGGCGTGGCGTAGTGAAGAATTGCATCGCAAAACCTTTCAACGCAAAGCATGGCATCGCACAGCGGCCCGAACATAACAACGCATAGCATTGCGTTGAAGATCATATCGTAGCCTGGCATAGCACGACGTGGCACTTAAGCACTGCATATCACAGCTTCAGCTGAAGGCGTGGCATCGCGCAGCGGAACGCAACCTAGCATTGCATTGCATGCCGTGGCATGGCACGGGAAATGGCGCCAGCGCTGCGGCGGGAGCGCGATTCGGAACGAGTGGAAGCGCAGAAATGAAGCCAGCGCTGCAGCGAGATCACGATTCGGAGCGAGCGGAAGCACGGTAATGAAACCAGCGCTGCAGCAGGAGCGCGATTCGGAACGAGCGGGGCCCGAAAATGAGGCCGGCGCCTCAGCGAGAGCAGCATTTGGGAAACACATGCAAGCGAAAACCCAACCCCGGGGAATCCTGCGTAAAAAAAATTAAAAAAAAAATACGCGGGGGGGGGGGGGGCGAATATTCCCAAACCGTCATCAGAGGAAGGAGGAGAGTAGTATTCATATTGAATAAGTGTGGGGTGGGGGGGGGGGATGGGGGGGGCAGGAGAGAGGGGGGGGCGGGGGGGGGCGGAGCGCAAGAGAGAATGGGGAGGGGGGGGGGGGCAAGAGACAGCGGGGGCAGGGAGAAAGAGGGGGGGCGAAGGGGGGGGCAGGAGAAAGGGGGGGGCAGGAGAGAGGGGGGGGGAGAGGGGGGGGGAGGAGAAAAGGGGGGGGGGCAGAGAGAGAGAGAGAGAGAGAGAGAGAGAGAGAGAGAGAAGAGAGAGAGAAGAGAGAAAGGAGAGAGAGAGAGAGAGATAGAGAGAGAGAGAGATAGAGAGAGAAAGAGAGAGGAGAGAGAGAAGAGAAAAGAGAGAGAAGAGAGAGAAGAGAGAGAGAGAGAGAGAGAGACAGAGAGAGAAAAAAAAAAAGAAGAGAGAGTAGAGAGAGAGAGAGAGAGAGAGAGAGAAAAACAAAAAAAAAAAACAACAACAAAAAGAGGGGGGAGGGAGAGGGGGGCAGGGACAGGAGAGAGGGGGGGGCAGGAGAGAGGAGGGGGGGTGGGGGTGGGGGGCCGGGATCATCGCCATCTCCATCACCATCGCCATCGTCGCATCACCATCATCGTCATCACCATCATCAACATCATCATCGCCATCGTCCGGGGCGCCCCGAATCGGCGGCGCTGGCCGCAGACCGCTGGCCACCTATGCGATCTGGAGCGGCGCGGCGGCAGCGCGACCGAAGAAGAGCGCCTCTACGCGCTCGTCGATCCTCTTGAACTCCGCGGCCTACCAGGGCTGAAGGCGCGCCGCCGACATGTTCAGTTTGGCGGCGTTCTCGTGCCGCCTGAGAGAGCTCTCGCGCTGCCGCCCGCCCCTCTTCTCCAGCTCGAGGTGGTCGCGGTGGCGCTGGTGCACCACGAGATTGCCCAGGCAGCCCCTCGCGTGTCCAGTTGAACTCGGTCGCGACCTCTTGGTGGCTGTGCTGGGGGAGCCGAGGCTCTGGGGGCCCGCGTGCCAGGGCTGCGATCGCCTTCGGCAGCTACGGGTATAACTTGTTTGTCAAGCTGGCGCCCTCGTCCTGAGTTTTCAATATTATTGTTTTATGGTTTTTTTCTCGTGGCCGCCCTCGTGCCAAGGAAAAGGAGTTCGGCCGACTCGCTCGATCCGCCCAGCTGGCGGGATCAAATCCTGACGCTCGATGGTCAGAGGCCCCGCCAGGCCCGCGGTTGGTCCCAGTGTTGCATATGGTATGACGTCCCATCATCCAATAGCCGCGGCAGCAAAGGTCCCACACCACAGCAGACCAGATCATGCGAGCGACTGGGTTGCGGGGCCACCGTCCACGGCGGCGCCTCCATCCCTTGAGGCAGCGCCGGGCCCAGGGGAGACGGGATCCCCCCAGCTTCCCACAATGCGGCTGGCAATGCAGCAGAGCCGACAGCAGGGCGCCCCCACTGTTGGAGTTGTGTCCAGCTCCGCATAGCTCTTTCATGTAGAGCACGAACGCATCGTCTACCTCGCTGTCCGCGACGAGCGGGCGCTCTCCCGCGGCCTCCACGAAGGCCTGCAACCCCGCCTGGTACTTGGTCTCCGCCCCCTGTCTCACCGCCGAGCGTTCCAATAGCGAAGGGCCCACGAGCGTAGGAGACGCCCGCGCCCTGGCCACGGCGGCGGCGCGGTGCTTTGCCGTCTGGCGCAGCTGGCGAGCCCGCCTGCCCTCGATCTCCTCGTCGGGGTCCGCGGCGGCATCCCTCTCGCCCTCGCTGTCTCCAGGTCTCGTGCCCTGCCGCCCCCAGGCCGCCGACGTCGTCCTTCGCCTTGGGCGCGGGTCGCTGGGGCCAAGTGGGCGCCCGCGCTGCAGGTCGCCCGAGCGAGCGCTGCCGCCGCGTCGGCGGCGTCGCCTCCTCCTGGCTGGCGGCCTGTGCCCGCGGCGCGGGCGACAGCGCCC